TTTAGGCGATCAGGTCTAACATGAAGTTGATGTGCAAATGCCACGGCGTTTCCGGCTCGTGTACGGTGAAGATCTGCTGGCGACGAATGGGTGAATTTCAAAAGATCGGAGAAAAACTTTATGAAAAATTCGACGGGGCGACGCGGGTAAAGTTTTCAGGCCAACGCCATAAACTGAAGCCAGCAGTTATCGGTCAGTGATGCAATTGAAAATGTAAAAGATTGACATCGTCTTAAGGTCACAAAAAACCAACTAAGCGAGACTTGGTCTATCTCGAGGAATCACCCGATTTCTGTCAGGCAAACTCTAAATATGGCATCTTCGGAACCAAGAGCCGGGAATGTAAGAAGAACAGTTACGGTACTGAAGGTTGTGCCATTCTGTGTTGTGGAAGAGGGTACGTAAAATCTTTTTGTGCTAGAATATTCGTGCAGAAGCCTGCACACCACTAATTTTCTTGACGTTCAGATATACTACTGTAATTCTGGAGAAAGTTCAAGACTGCAATTGCAAATTCAAGTGGTGCTGCGAGGTGCGATGTGACAAATGCAAAATTCGTGTTGAAACACACTACTGCAAATAGAGATTTGCCTGCCGATAACTTGGTAACAGTGGTATTTCTGCGATCCAAATGGCGATTGTTAAATTTCTCCCGGTCGATCCTTGACTAAGTCTTATACTGTATTGTACTATGAGTTGTATAGTGGTTTGTTCCTGGTTCTTTCTGATTTAAAAATGTTTGAATATTAAAATTTACAATTAAAACAACACGGTAAAATATATATCCGCATGATCCTCACAATATAGCTTTGTGAGCTAAACGGACAAACTCGAGCTGCATATTTTTGTTAATTACCTCATTAACAAAAAATAAACGGTTTAAGACTAGTTTACGAAATTATGCTTATAGAACAAAAGTCAGGTATCAAGCATAGCAGAGTACAAACATCAACACGTTGCGCAAAAGCTTTACATTCAGTTGCTATTGTTCATGTTAGTTTTCTGACACTTCTCGCTTCAACGTATTCGTGACTATCAATTCTTAAAACATGAGGAATAAAAAGTCAGTCGTCAGACTATGACGCCCAAAGTTCATTACCACTAGAGGAATAGTCTGGATTGAAGTTGCTCGGAAAACAGTGAAAAACAGCCACAATCGTACACTGCACAGACATAGCGGCCATCGACTTAAGATAAATGCGAAAAAGCAGCAACATTTGACTGACCTTGCAATTTCGTTCAACCATCCTTGGCGTCTCGTTAAGATTCTATGCCTACACAAACCCTGTAGAAGTAACACCCTATCCGCATATGCAGTCCAATTCGCACCTAATCGTAAATATGCAGTGCTGAATCATGGTTTCCATTTTCGCTGTCAAAACTATGAAACTTCTAATTGGAGCTATGGGGCTACTACACTAAGACATAAAATATATAATCGCAACTCACCGTGGTTACTGTAAGACGCCCGCCAGTTTTAATTACACACTGAGGAAA